TTCTTGGTCACAGTGTTCTCCTTAGGAGATGCCTAAGACATGGAGTTCAGGCTACCACTTCCCGAGGACCCTGGAGAAAGGAGAGCCCAGAGTGTTCCCAGAATCCCTTGCAGCTCCTGCCAAAGAGTATGAATGCATTAACACTGGTTTTAGTGTTCCCCCAGTAAAAGAAGGCTGCTAGGGGAACCCAAAGAGTTGGCTTTGTTTTGAGTCTTGGGAAGATCTGAACTTGAGATTGGTCTCAGGCTACAATCAGTGGATAGTTTCTAAAGGAAGGCAGTTCACATTTTCTTGTATGAACCACCAAGCCCTAGCTGCAGCTGTCTGCCAGCCTCAGACACCATCTCTAGCAATCACATCCTAATGATCTTACTGGGCATTGTACCAGTAAGTCTCTTCTGTTCTCATTCGCAGCCCAGCACTCAGCCATGAGGCAGTCAGCCCCCTGGCTTTCCTCTTACATGCAGGGAGTCTGCAGGAATAAAGTGAAAAAATAAAGTCTTGGGTTCAGCCTTAACACCAGTCATTAGCTACAACCTTACCTTTAAGTATTGGATTAAATACATAGTGTTCATTGATTTTTCTAAACTTCATAATAATCTCATGGGTATGTTATAATTATTTCATATGTGTGTATGTGTGTGAAAGGAAGATCAGCAATCATATATAAAATGCACATGGCAACACGGGAAGAAATAGGGCTGAGATTTGACTTGGTAAAGTTTGGCATTAAATATGCTCTAGAATCTTATGCCATAATGTAATCTTCATTAGGTGGAGACTCTTAATTTTGGATCTATAACCTTCTGGTTTGTAGATAGTACAAGCATATATTTATCTTGTTATTGAGAAGAAAAATGTCCTGTGAGTTAGACTTACGATGAGAGTGAAAACGTGAGAGATATTTTGATAGAGAAGGGACAAGGAGGACACAAGTACAGGAAAAGAAATAAGGGCCAAAGAAGGAGGTGGTGAAGTATGGGGCTTTGGAGGGGTACTAGGTAGTACTGGCTCGTGCCTTGATTCTGAATCTGTGGGTTTCAAAGACAGCTCAACAGCCAGGCTAGAAGTGGTGTGAGGAAGCTCTGACAGCCGTTACCCAAGCTGCTCTATAGGCCCACCTGGGGCCCCATTCCCAGCCCATTTCATATTACAGGAAGAATGTTCCAAACAGAAAGTTTGTGTGGACAGAAAGGGTGAAACGCTTTACCAGGCCCCGGGGGACAATGCCAAAAAGCCCATTTTCCCCTTAGATAGGCTTTCTGGCACATACAGAAGGAAGACCGCCTGGGTGCCAGATGTGAGCGTGCCCATGTGTTCCACTGCAGTTCCATCTGGGGCTCAGGACAGGAGCTCGGCTTTTGATCATGTGAAGGAGAGCGATTCATTACAGAATACAGGATAAGAGGTTCCAGAGCCCAAGTGTGACCAGACAGAGGTTCCCCGCTCCTCACTTTCCTTTTATCTTATCCTTCTGAGGCGTCACAGATATTTGGTGACAACTGTGCCTATAACGGAGTCTAGATTTTACCTCTACCGTTTTTGATGCTTTGTTCAGATGTTGCTTTCTGTGTGAAAGGGGTCTTCCAAAGCATCAAAAGGGGCATCCCGCTACCCTCCTAAAATGAGTGGCAAGAAATGAGATAATGTGCTAAGTGTGGTAAGTCATTAATGTTTTGCTTGGGGTTCTCTAAATATAATGGTGTTCTCCATTTCAGACTTACCTCTGTTTGCACAGAGTGGCATAGAGAAGCAATATAGGCTGCTGGGACAGGACTCCCACCTTTGAGTCATTGGAGTGAAATGAGAGAAGATTGGTGGTGAAGGATTGAAGCCCTCTCCATGCATTGTGTCCAGGAATTTACTGTGGTTTTTTTTCACTGGGTTGCCTCGAAGCGTGTTAGGATGAGAAAGGGAAAGGACTTCTCCACAGTGGAAACAGCCATAGCTAGCAGGTCATCTCACTGGAAATTCATACATGCACTAGCTCAGCTATGTCTGAACTGTACTGACCTCCATCATTTAGGCTAACCTATAGACTTACCGCTCACAGGCAAGAAGCTTTTTCCCCCCCCCCCCATAATTCTCTGTGCTCAGTCTTAATTGTCAATTTGGTACAAGCTTGAACCAACTAAGAAGAGAGTCTCACTGGGGGATGGCCTCAATGAGATTGGCCCACAAGCATTCCTGTGAGGGAATTAAAAAAAAAAACTGGATAGAGGAAAGAAGGGCCATTTTGAATGTGGGTGGCATCATTTTATGGGCTGGATGAGAAGGGCCAGCAGAGCAGTAGTATAACATGCCCTCATGTCTCTGGACTCTTGACTGCGCATTGATGTGACTAAATGCTTCAAGTTCTTGCTGTGTCTTCTCTGCACAGGAGACTGTCACTTGAAATTGTGAGCTAAATCTTTTCTCCTTGAAGTTGCTTTTTGTCAGAGAGCTATGCCTATGGAATGGAGGGCCCATACTCCTTGCCATTATTTCATGTTTTCTTCTGCATTTCAGGTGTAAGCCACCACACCCAGTATAGGTGGTGCTGGGATTGATCCCAGGGCTTCCTAAATGGCAGGCAAGAAGGTTACCAACCGAGCCATCTCCCTAACCTGCTTGTAACCTCTTCTCCTGGAGGATCATTTTTCTTTGCTCTGGGCCATCCATGTGATCACAGTGCTTGTTCCTGTTAAGGTCTATTTAATACAAGTTGAGATAGAGTAATGTTTTTTAATCGTGGCATAAATTTTGTTATCATGTCTTAGAAAACTGTGTGTGGAAGCCAGAGGTTAATTTCAGCTTCTTCCTCAATCACTCTCCACCTCATTTAAAAAAAAAAAAAGTATGACTCTCTCACACAGGAGATACTTGGTTCAAGGTCATCTGAACTGCATTTCTCTGAATCTGTAGCTTGCCAATGTAGCCAAACTAGCTGGCCAGCAAACTTCAGGGATCTTCCTGTCTCTCCCTCTACTACTAAGACTTCAGGCACAGGTTGCCATGCCCAGCTTTCCTGTGTGTCCTGGGGACTGAACTCAGGTCTTCCTGCTCACACAGTAAGCTGTTTCCAGAAGGTAAGCATCCAGCTTCATTATCTCGTTCTTTTGTATATATTGTATACAGTGCTGTACTTCTGAAGATACTGTCTAAAAAAAAAATGTGGAGCTTTCCAGGGAATCCATTCTCGTCATTTTTTTAATGCTAGCAATGGCACCATTTGGGTGTCTGTTCTATTCTCTTTTACTATGATAGGTCACAGCAGAGGATAAGATTAAGGTTGTAAAGACATGAATCCTATTAGACAAGTTCAGGGCAAAAAATCCTCCTCAATAATTACACAATCCACTTTGATAGAGCATAGATTGACATCTGTTTTTCTCCCCAAGTTCTCTTGTCCGAACAGTGGTTTCGATCATAAATAGTTGTGACGGATTTAATTGACCATGCCCTGTTTAAGCTGAGCAGCAAGCCTGAACTGACTGGGCTTGAGGGGACAGCCTAAGCCTCTTCACTTCATAGACTTCTCTCACAGCCTACGTTATGCTTGCTGGAAGGGGGTGGTTTTTGCGTCTCTCTTTCCACAGCAGGGTCATCTGCTTAGATTCCTAGTGCTGAGAATAGTGCTGCATGCAGGCATTCATTAAACTAAGCTGACTGAGCCAATAGCAAAGCATGGCTCTCATCCAAGCCATGCTAACATTCAGGAGAGGCACAGGAGCACTGGATCCCATTTTAGCCACAAGCTTATCAGAACTGTGCTACTAGGGATGTAAGATGAAGGAAAGACATGAGTGTTTTTTGAATGACATTTTAGCTCTTTATGGACATTCAAGTTGAGTATTTGTGTCTTCATTAAAAAGAAAAGGAAGCAATTGAGCGAATCTTGACTCATCCATTACTCAATATAAACGGAATCTTAGGGCAAAAGTCTTGGAACTGAGGGCAGATGTAGACTTTTCCAATTTTTCCCTATTCATAGAAATGTGATTTCACTAGACATTCTTATCATCATCTCTGAAAGTGAAGAAGAGATGCTGTTTATGCTTACCTGGAGTTGCTTCAAGATGTTCATATATAACTATACATAACTATCTCTTTCTCTCAATCCCCGTTTCATAGACAAATCAAATCTAGCACTGCTCACCTATGGCAGGCATCACCGGAAGCCATCAGGGCCACCCCAATGCAATTCTGTGGCAAGGGTCACCTGGAACCAGGGTTAGGTAAAGAGTCACTTTAGTTTTCAGGAACTCCCAACTTTCTGTTTGGCGGTGTCCCCTCCACATACAGTCAGGAACACATAATGATATTTCAGTGCATGCTGAAGAGTGGAGATTGGTGAGACCATCTGATATGGTGTGAGCCAAAATCTTCTTATGCTGTGAAGGAATACACTGTGATGCTCACAGATGTTACAGATGTGTCTCTCGGCACACGTCCAGTGTGAACAATGCACACTCCACACCCCAGGTAAATAAAGAACAACAAGAAACCTGAGTGGGAGAGTGGGTGACAGGGACCCCACTGGAGACAGTCCCGAGTGGTTTTACAGCACCCTCTCTCTCATGACCACAGCTCCACTGAGGAAGTCAAGCCACAACGGGCAGAAGTAGTCACGTGCCCACTGGAGCACCAATCTAGTGAGTCTCAAGGAGATAGCTCTCTCTCTCTCTGGCTCATTTCCCTCCACATTTTGCCCCTGGCTCAGTTATATTTAGTTGAAGCATCACTTGAAGGATAAAAATAATCAGGTGTAATTTGGCCCTGCCACAGACAGCCACACTATTTGCTCCACTTTAGACCACAACGCCTGCCCTAGTGACCGCCTGCTGCCTTGGTGCCAGAGGCTGGCTGAAGACCGCCTCCTCTGCTTCCCTAGCTTGACCACACCTCCCCCCCCATTTCAGGAGGCAGCTCTATTAGGAGTATTATGGTCTCTGCATCCTCTTTAGCCTGAGCCCAGGATTCCCGCAGGTAGTAACTGGAGAGTGCGGGCAGACCTTCAGTGAAGCTCACTTCATTCCTCACCCATCTCTCCGGCAAAATAGTAAGTGAGGGCTGAGTTTCTGTGGAAAACTTTCCTTCCATTTTTCTTCCTCTCCCCCACATTTTATGAATTAAAGGGTAAATTGGGAAACTTTCAGGATTCAGCCTCTCTTCCTCTTTTTTTACATCTCCCCCTATCCACCTATTCCATTGTTTAACAATATTTTCAAAACTATTTCCTAACCTTGCTAGACAAACTTAAAATCAAGACTCTTGTCACTTTTCCCCCTAAAAGCAAAAGCACACAGTTTGTAGATCCTTGCAAATGACATTTCACAACTCCGAATATCCTTTGCAGACTCTTTCAGAGAAATAAAACTGTAGCTTCACTTAGAAAATTTATTTCTTCTTCTTCTTTCCTCCTTAGTGAAGTCTACTCACCGCCTTGCTCCACCTCTTACCGGCAGCTTAATAAATTGCTTTCATAGAGGGGAAATTGCTGCCGGTCAGGACCTTCTGAAGGCAAGCCAGCCTATCGGGTCGTTTCTTCTGCGTTGTGACTTATGTCCTGCAAGAGCCCACCAATTCTTTGTAAGGCTCTGTGGGTCGGTGGTTGTGGGGGTGTCTCAAGGTCAGATGTGCTTTCTTCACTCAACAGGGGAGGCTGGAGATGGGACAGCAATTCCACTTTGCCCGGAGTGGGGTAGGGGTTCTTGTTACCATAAGAATATCTGTAATCACCTTTGAAAGTAGACTTTTCAGTGAGGGAACCGTGCAAAGACTCCGAGAAGTGAGATCATGACAATCCATTGTAAAGTTCCTCTCTTTTCTCCCCCCCCCCAAAGCCTGTTTTCCTTCCTACTTTGTATAGCTGCATGGAACTGGGTGGGAAACAACAGGAAATTCAGATCCTGAAACGTACCTCTAGCCTCTCTGTTTGATTTGTAAAATTACCGACACTTTAACTCTTTCATCAGCTGGGGTCTGGATTGCTTCACTGCCTTTTTATCAGCAAGAAACCCCTTCGGTTTGGCAGGCTCCAATGGCGCTTTGCAGGCTGGGTGGCCTGTGTTCCTCTAGTTTACCTGCTGTTCCAGAACCCAGGCCAGAGAGGGCTGTAAGGGGTTAATTCGTGAGAAGTGCTTTGAAGATGAAAAGGTCTTTTCATGTGTTCGGGTATTGTAGTTATTAATATTAATATTTTGAAGCAGCACGCTGCTTTTAATTGTAAACCGACAACTTCCATGCTTCCCAACGAACAGCGGAATAACAGAGCGGGAAGAGCTATTGAGCCTCCTTCGTCCTGGGTCGGCTGCTGGAGACTTGGGATGTACAGTGTGATTGCGGACCGGCTCTTTGCCTCGCTGGCACCTTACACCCAGGTGCTAGTTACCAGAGGTGCCAGGATGCGCTGGAGCTGAGTCCGGGGAGGTGGGGGTAGTCCTCCAGCACCTGGAGTCTGTGAACTTGGATTCTCTGCCCATGCCTTTAATTGCCTATTCAAATTCCCAGGGATGGTGAAGTTCAAAGGCCAAGCGGGTCAGAGCTGGATTTTGGAGTGAAGAAAGCAGTTAAAGGCTTAGACTCTAGGGGAGGCTGCATACGTAACTGAGGAGAGGTTGTTGAACGAATATAGCCTGCTTTATTTTCTTTAAAATTCAAGCGATTATTGGTGCCCCACCTAGTTCACAAAGAGGAGAGTCTATGAGTAAGTAGTATAGAGCTTTGAAAAATGGAAGGGCCAACAGGGCCAGAGTAGTCTGAAGCAACACAGTAAGGACTTGGGTGTGTGTGTGTGCAGGTTCCTATGGGGCTAAGGCTAATGCGTTTCTCCTCTATTGTGTTGAGAGAACACAACTCAGCACGACCACCCTTGTACCTTGTCTTCTTTTTATGCGTGGGCCTTGTGATTTTTATTCATTGGCAAGTAGACACACAGCCCCCTGACAACGGTTCTTTTCTAATTGCCTATTCAAATTTCTCAGTTAACATCCAAAAAGCAAAAGGGATGAGTATATACTAGAAGTTGGGGCTCCCTCTCTCCCTCCCTCCCTCCCACTTTCCCTTCCTTTTTTCTTTCCTTCCTTTCTTTCCCATCTTTCCTCTCCTTCTTTCCTTCCTCTTTATTCTTCATTGAACAGTTAAAGCATTTAGTATCTGAGTGACATTAATATGGGAAATTTAAAGGCATTTAAGTTAGCTCTTGTTTCTCTAATTCCAGACAGATCCTCCTTGGCCTCCTTAACTCTACTGGGGTGTAGCTTTACAGGGCTCCTTTAACCCAGCCAACTCCTTCATTGGAGGAACTTTTTTTTCATCTAAGAGAGGAGAACAATCTAATTTGCACTTACTCAGCGTGTTCCATGAGGCGTGCTGCATGGGCCACTTTTAAATTAGCAGGGTGAGCTCTTGGTGGGACTGGATCAGAACTAAAACCATGTGAGCACAGGGCTCCTGACACCAATTACAGGAAGCCCAAGCTCCGAGACACACAGAAGCAGCCTGCTTTTTGCTAGGTGTCTGGGAGAACAGCATGAGTCAAGCTTTTTCTTCTTGTAAACTAATTTTTCATTGATAAGAAGATACTGAGTCTGGAAGAAAACTGCATTGTCTGGGTTGCCTGACTAGGTAAAACATCCCAGTGTGGTCATTAAGTCCAGCTTCTACTTTGTGTCTAGCTTGTTTAGTGAGGGGTGGAGAATATATGCACACTTTAAATTTTACACCATTTATTTTGGATAGCAATATTTTGCTGGAAAAGGTTAAAAATAAAAGACAATACAATTTTAAATGGTCTGATGCAGCCTATGAATATTTTCTGAGCTCAAGTGCCACAATACAAGACTGAATCCAGAACAGAAAATGGGAGGGGAAAAGATGTTTGAGGTTTTATTTTTTTTGTTTTTGTTTGTTGTTTGTTTGTTTGTTTGTTTGTTTCTTCTTAGAGCAGAAGATGGTGAATTGGATGTACCAAATAGTGTAGGTGAGTTCTGGAAACTTCAGGAAAAGGCTGGGTCAGCACTTCTTGATCAGAGTAAAGCAGGGAACTTTAGTGCCAATGTCAAGAATGTATCATTTGAGAAAAAGATTTTTTTCTTTGTTTCTTTGTCTTTTCTTTCTTTCTTTCTTTCTTTCTTTCTTTCTTTCTTTCTTTCTTTCTTTCTTTCTTTCTTTTTTCTTCTTTTTTTCTTTTACTTAAGAATTCTAAGATCACAAACATTTGCAAAAATACTTCAAAGGGTTTCTAAAAGCTTTTGAGTCTTAGGACAATTAATTAGGACAAGCCAATCGTCAAAGTCATCTCTTGGTGCCTCTGGGTGGTGGTCTTGAAATGATTCCTATGTATGTAGAAAGACCTGTTGCCACTCTCTGCCTCCCCCTTAGGAAGGTCTTCCTTTCTTCCTTGCCCTGGAATTCCTGGTCTTAAAGGTTCCTGAGGGCTTCAGTTTTCTTGAAGTTATAAAGGACTAAAGGACTAACTGTGTTTCTTGGGGAAGACAGAAGCCCTGACCAGGCTTTGGCACGGGAGACTCAGAACCTCTCTTGAGCTGCACATTTCTTTCTGGCCAGGCGTGCCTAAGATGCACAGACCTCTGCTCAGCCTTGGGTAGACGTGGTTGCTCTTCTTTCCAGGCACCTCTGGTTCCTAAGTTCCCATCTTAGCAAAAGCACTCCTGAGTAAGAATCAGGAGGCTGCAGCACGGCTCCTGAGCAGTGCTTAGACTAACAGTACCGTCCTCCCATGGTCCTCACTGAGCTCTGGAGCTGCTTTGTAATCAGAACGGTGTGACTCAGATCCATGTACACCTCACAGTCTGGGTGGCAATACCTCAGATCAAAGGCAACAACAGCTGCCGAAATGGAGGTCTCAGACAGACAAACTACTATCTTCCCTGTATTGATAGCCAGTCACTGCTGTGTTACTCTACAAAAGGCGGATATACATCCATCCATCCATATATATATATAATATATGAACATACATGTATAGATACATACTCTGGTATGTATATATATATATATATATATATATATATATATACACACACACACACACATAGATACACATTAAAGACGTGCACCACTAAATCTAATTCTTAAATAAGTAACCTCTGCCACTTCGAGCTGTATAAATAGTGCTAATACAATAATAATACTAAAATCCATCTTTACTATTAACAGTGAATGCCAGGTATTGTGGATGAAATATGATTTATTATATTATATGTGGATAATACCTTTATTATAATATTATATTTTACATAGTATATATAATATGTTTTATAATATTATATTTATTATATTATATGTGGATAATATAATTTATTGAACACTTTCCCCATGTGTGAGGAACACAGCTACATACATACATACATACATACATACATACATACGCCAGAATATGTATATATATTCAGTTCAGAAATCTGCAGTAGTTCCTGGTTTGTGAGACCACAGCTGCAGTCTGTCTAGGAGCTCTGTTGGAGCTGTAAGAATGTGCTTGCTGCTTGGATGTATGCATTACAATGGTTCAGGTGCCTAGCATTCACTGAAAACTGTGCTTCTTTTCTCCTGCAAAAATTCTCTACTAAAGATATTCAGCCCATGATCATGAAAGGAATTTCTTTGACCAATTAAATTTCAATTTTTAGAAAAAGAGAAGATTTAGACCATGGGGTTCTAGGTCTCCACCCATGCCCCTTCTCTTCTTTTCAGACAAGGTCTCACTGTGTCCTCCTGGCTTGCCTGGAATTCATAGAAACCTGCCTGCCTCTGCATCCTGGGATTAAAGACAAGCACCACTACATCTAATTCTTTTTTTTATTTTTTTTATTTTTTTCACCTTTAAAAATTTATTTATTTATAAATTACAGTTTATTCACTTCGTATCTCTGCTGTAGCCCCTGCCCTCATCCCCTCCCAATCCCACCCTTCCAAGCCCCTCCCCAAGTCCACTGATAGGGGAGGTTCTCCTCCCCTTTCTTCTAACCCTAGCTATCAAGTCTCATCAAGATTGGCTGCATTTTTCCTCTGTGGCCTGGTGAGGCTGCTCCCCGTAAT